TTTGGTTAATGATCATAATGATTTGGTCAGCTTCTTTGGAGGTCTCAGGACATTTGAAGACATATTTTATATCTTCAGTGCGGAGTTCACATCTTGGATATAGAGTGTCCCGATATTGGCTGGGATATAACTGATATAATTGTTGATGAGTAGGTAGGGTTCCTAATAATAACTTGATTCTAAATGCAATAAGGTTGCTATAATTATTGTTGCGTAGTTTCTTGATTTCTTTGTTGGATTTATTGATAATTTTTAAGCCATGTAGAGTATGCGTGCGTTGGAAAGTTTGAAGAACAGATGAACTTTCGCAAATCATGTAGTTTCTAGTAATGCCAAAGATCTTTTTGTACTATCTGACACTGCTACTGAGGCAGGAGTTGTTGATTAATGGACTTTCAGAAAAGTGTAATGGAGGGTTGCTCTATTGGATAGTTTTGGATATTGTTGGTTTGGATTTAGGTTTGGTGTATATAATTTGGATAGATCTTTGTTATATTTGTTGATTTATTTTTTGGATTAATGCAGAGAAGTTGATTTTGACCATTCTTCTGAAGTACTCAGGAATTGGTTGAAGGATTCTCTTGTTACTTCTTATTTCGATAGTATTGCAATATGGATTTTACTGGGTGATGTCCAATATTGCAAATAGAATATTGCCTGGTGATAGGTATGAATTTAGTAATTTAAATTATTCTTTTTATTTAATTATTTTTATTAAAAAAATTATCATTATTTTATTATAATATTATATTAAATAAAATTAATATTTTTTAAAAATTGGAATATATATATATAAATAAATCAAATTTTTTTAATTGTCTAATAAAAATTAATTTTAAAATATATAACAACTACTTATGTATATATTTTTTATATGATTAAATTTTTATTAAATTTTTTTATTTAGTAAAATTAATATATTATAATTAAAATTATTTTGTTTTAATTAAGATAAATTTTTTATTATTGTTTATTAATTTATAGAATGTCACATTAATATTAAAATAGTAATAAAATAATATTAACTTATATTAAATTTAGTATTAATTTAATATTGAAATGATATTGTTAAAAACTTTATTAATCTATTTAATTTTAAAAATTTATTAAATATATTAACAATTAATAATAATAAATATTTATATGTTTAATATATACAATATGTACAATATATATTTGTTTAAAAATTTTTTTATTATTTGTTTTGTAATTATATTATTTGATATTTTTTATATTTTTAATAATTTAATTTAATTTAATTTATATTAAATTAAAAAATAAATATTTTATTTATTTATTATATAATTTTTATAATATAACCTATTATAACTTATTATTTAATTTTGATAAATATTGAATTTGTTATATATTTTTTTAATGTTTGCAAAATTAATTTTATTTAATATATTAAAATCAATTTTTTATAATAAAAAACCCATTAATATATTTATATTTTATATTTAATAAAAGGATTTTATTAGATATAAAAATTTATAGTCAAAAATTATTTCAAAAAAATTTTTTTTTTTTTTACATTTACAAAATAATTTTATTATTAATAAATATAAAATCGAAATTAAGAAATAATTAATTGATATGATTTTAATAATTATTTTTTAATTTTATTTTAAATATTTTAAAAAATATATAATTTGCAATATATTATAAAAATTTATTAATCCTTTATTAATTTACAAGCAAAAAAAAATTTTTTTTAAAAAGTATTGTGACGCGCTATATACCGTAAATACAAAGATATATAAAAACAAAGATGTTTTAATATTGAACAAGTCTTAAAAATTTTAGATTTCCAGAATTTTATATATTTTATGCAAAACAATAAGAATATATTCCTACGTCAAATTTACTTTTTATTAAATTGTTTTTTAAAAGAACGAACTTAATTATATTAATCAAAACACAATTACCTAATCACTTGCACATTACTCAATAGTAAGTATATTGTTCCATTATGTTCTATCTAATTATTATGATATAATATGCAGTAATTTGTAAATCTGCATAATTAGTTTTATACATAAATATAAATTAATACAAATAAGATTGGAGCGACAACAACAATTTTTGTAGAAGCCAAACCCATTTTCAAAATTATTTAAAATTCCTCGTTAGCGGCAGACATCATTATTCGATTGCTTTTGGATTGTCAATATTTTCTTGGTGTCCGATAGTTGATCATGATTAAACCAAAATTGGTTTTTACGTACTACCACTGAATTCGAAAGAATCGTTAATAAAGTTATTGTCACGAAAAGCCTGACTGTTTTACTGATTAAATATTTTGGAAATAAACTTTATTGTTTTCAATTCTAAAACACATCTGATAAGTGCACGCAAATATAAATTACAACTCAGGGATCTCACCAGTAAAACATTATCAACGAGATCAGTCATATGAAGAGATAATTTTTTTTTCGACTATTCAACTTCTTTATTTATTCTTATCGCTATCGGTCATTCCATTAATCGCGGACTCGCTGTCTTCACCTAATAAGAATTTTCATAAATAATTTATCAGAAAATCGTCATCCTGAATTCTCTCGTGAAACATTATTAGGAAAAAAAACAGAATGGTACTGGGAAGAGTTAGCGTCATTATACTTTAAATCCCCGCGTACACCATGTTAATCAAAAATGAGATCAGATTATTTACTTCTACGTATGTATTATTTAAATATTAAAAAAAGGTCTGTACTTTTCTTTCATTCTTTCGCAGAAAGAAGCTTTGGAGCTTACCTTTAAGCAATTAGAAATATAAATTACAAAATTTACCAGTCTGTCGTATTGTGATGATTGATAGGCTTCCTAACTGTATTTTAATTAAAATACTTACGCATGTTCTTAGAGATTCAGGGTAGGTTCTAATTCCCCGTTAAAAGAATATTTGATGACCTATCTGTGTTTTCTTGCTTAGAAATAATTTCGCGTCTATCACTTTTTTTTTTAACCGCGTAGATACCGAAAATTTCACCAGCTACGTAAAGCGTGTAAATTATGGAACAAACTCGTTCCTGTGGTCATTAACGATGAATTAACTCTAAAAAATAAGTACGGGTGGACGCTTGAAATATTCAAGGTGAAAGGGTCAATGTTACATGTTCTAGAAGTAATCCATCATACACTAAATTCAGCAACGTGTGATTTGATTTGATTAGAGAAAATCAAGTCCCTACCAGCTCCTCAGAATCCTCGATTTCAAGTTACTCTGTTATAATCCCAAAACATCCTTCGTTTACTTCGGTATCAGCTCATTATCACGCAACTCTTCCGCTTTGGAATTAAAGGAAAACAAATTATATATGGAATTTTTTGTGAACTCAAGATATTGCTTTACAAATTTTTTCATCAAATTGAAAGATGGTCAGAACGTGTATAAACGCAAAGATGGAATTTATCACATAGATTATTCTAGGGATAATGAGAATTGGAGTATTAGCGAGTGGAAGATTCACGCGAAGACGATGTTTAGGTTGTTAGATTTGTGGAAATTGTAAGTCTACTGATAATACGACGTAGGATGTTTTTGTAGATTTACGTATTTCTTTGTGCAGTATTTGCATATCTTTAAATTGTACAGTATTTATCTATATTATAGTACGTACAGTACATAGCTCATATTTACATTTCTAAATTACATATAAAGTAGTAATACTTTTCTTCTGACTTGTATTTTTTCTAATCATGTAAGTTATACTACATATTGAATTACATGACAGATGAACACCTGCTTTATTCGTGAACACACTGATTCCGAGTTTATCTTTTTATGTATCACCTAAAAAAAACTTTTTGTTTATCTGATTTTTTGAATCATGTTTTTCAATTTCAGTACGTACCTTTTTTTGATACTTTTTTTTAATTGTTTCCTTTTTAGGGAACACCTGATCGATATTGTCGTAGATAAATGTTTCGAAAAGAAAGCTTCTACCTTTTAGCAATAATTTTGATATTCTCACGGAATGACAATTGACGAAAAAATTTCACAAGAAAAAATTTTAAATTATAATATAAACAATTGATAATTATATAAAAAAAAATCCGTAAAAATTTATCTAAAAAAAAAAACAATTTTAATATAAAAAATTGTATTTTAAATCAATTATTTGTGATGGATTAATAAAACTTTGTGGGAAATTTTTTTTTTTTTTTAGAATTATAATAGGGTAACATATTTATTTTGAATTTATAATAATAAAAAAGATATCTTGAATTTTTACGAATAACATTGAATTAAAAAAAATTTTTTTTTAAAAAAACTTGATATTTTAATAAAAAAAATTTTTTTAATTTTTAAATGATAATATGGTGTATATTAGAGTAATTATTTATTTAACTTGATATTTTTTTTATGATTTTTTTAAATCATGTAAATAATAAATAAGTTGTTTTTTCATTTATAAATCAAATGTTTTTATATATTAAAATAGAAATTCCATTATTTTATGCATGTTTTAAACTTGAAAATTTTTGTCTTTTTCTTATGCATTCATATATTTATTATTATTAAAATGTCAGTTTTAATTTCATAAAACCATTTTTTAAATAATACGTACGGATATTATAAATTGCTTCTACTTTGCCTTTCTTTTAAATTAGAATTAACAAAGCGTTTGTATTAAAACAATTTTTCAATCATACTTTCTTGGAAGGGATACTTATAAAAAATGTGCCAATTGTAATGTCAATATACAGTAAGTGTGATAATAACAGAAAAATCTTTTTTCTTTATTTAAAAAAATATACCCTAGTTTTATAATACAGTACTCCATATGCATCATAATATAAAGTTACGCTATTGATAGAATAAAATGGTTAACATAATAAAATGTTGATTTTTTTAAAAAAACTATATAACATATACAAATATCTTGAAAATATCTTAATTTTAGTCATGATAAATTCTGTTTATGAAACACAAATCCGAGATTCCATATCAAAATATAGACTTAACACGATTTTTCTTCAAGAAAAAAGAAAACCTAGAAATCGATTTTTAACCTGCCTTGAACGGAGTCGTATTTATTATCTATAAAAAAAATTCAATATTTATAAAATCAATATAATAAAAAAATATAATGTTAATTACATGATTACAGTATAATACCTCGATCTAATTCATTTGACACCCATTGAACATTTTTTGTAAGATCAGATATTAGTTGACTTGTATAGATCGCCTTTGGGTGCATTTCCATTTGATGATTTGCATCTCGACAGCTTATATCAAACATTTTGAGTTTAAATTCCCATACATCGTCTGCAAATTCATCAAGAGTTGAGTATCCATAAAGGTCTCTTAACTCTAAGTTTTCTTTTAATATTTCATCTTTTGTTTTTTTATTAATAAGGCCATGTACATTATTTAAAATCTTATACATTTGTTTGGCAGTGGGCCTTTTGAAAACGTCCGCGTTCCAACAAAGCTCCATTAACTTTACCCACAATTTTGGTGTTCCTTCAACAATTTCTGGTCGATGTCCGTTAACAATTTTAAGAATAAGATCTAAATCATGAGGTGTATCGTGATAAGGTGAATATCCAGATGAGAATTCCCACATAATAATTCCCATACTGTAGATATCAGCTGCTTGAGTATATGCCTGTCCCTTTAAGACTTCTGGCGCAACATAAGGTATTACTCCATATACATCATTTCTTTTACTCTCCCTTGTTTGATTTGCTGGTCCACTTAATCCAAGATCTGCGATTTTTAGTTCCAATGCATCCCGATTCTCAAAATTAGTAAATAATAAATTACCACTATGCAAGTCATTGTGAGTGAACCCTTCCTTGTGTATATAACTTAAACTATCAAAAACCGACATTATATGAAAAAGTATCCACCACCACTCTAAACTTTCACTATTGGAATTTAATTTTAAATACCGTCGCATGTTTCCATGCTCACAATATTCTAAAACCATATAAAATTCTCCATCCGTAGGATCGTTAGATATTCCAAATAGACGAATAACATTCTTTCGTAAATCTTTACAATAAAGTTTGTAGTGAACTTTTAACTATATTTTAGTAAAAAAATTAATAACATTCTTTAAAAAATTATAAATAGTTAGATTATAATGCTTACTTCGTTAATGAACTCTGCTGAAATATTTTGTGATTTTTTAAGCTTTTTCAATATTACTTTTATAGGACCTTCCCGATAAAACATTCTAATTCTTTTTTCATTTTTTTTTAAAGAAACTTCATCCGGAAAAGCTTTCATAAGCAACGGTCCGTCCATCCAATATGCTAAATACACTATGCTGAATGCACCTTTGTCTACCTCCCTTATATCGTAAAATTGTTTAAATGGTATCCACTCAAGACTATTATTTACATTCCTTCCACTTTCCTGAGATTCTCGAATTATTTTATCAATTTCTGAATTACCACTTGTCCAATTCGAAGGTTGTTCCTGAAAAAACTTACGAGTACATTCTCCACAATATCTTTTTGATCCCCAACATTCATGATCTCCTGCATCAATATGTACTTCTCTTTTAACAGACTCGGACGAAGAATCAATTATAACATTACTCATCTTTGTAAATTCAAAAAGAGTATTGATTGGATTCAGATCTTAACTCCGGTTATACATACATAGGTTGTACAACTTTCCTGAAATAATATTATATTTTGATTTTTCTAGTGTCGTTCAAAAGTATGCGCGTTATTGACAATAATTAATAAGATAGAATATTAAAGTCAAATACTGTATCCTTCAATGCATAATACAATTTATTTAAAGATTAATACGATCTTACTGTCATATAAAACGAAATTATGAAATATTATTTCGGTATTATATGTAACTTCGCAAAATTAACCATATCAGACATTGTTAAACTGGTGATGAAAATATCGAAATGTCACTGCGTATTCTTTTCCAGAAAGTTTCACAAATCTCCATATAATGCTTTCCTTGTAACTAATATTATTAATACTTTGGTTTTATAGAGGCAGCTATAAAGACGAGGCGACGATAAGTTTGCAAAGATATTCCCTCTGTTATTTTATATTTATATGTTATATCTTGTCAACTCGACTATTATTTTAAGATTGCATTATTAATTAAAAAATTAAATATGTAGTACAACTAGGCTATATTTTTAATTTTTTTATACTTGTACGCATTAATCATTGTCATTCAGTATGATATCCATTTTAAAAAATTTTATTTTCAATAATTAATAAATTAAACTCTTGTATTAATATTTAAATTTATAAAGTTATAGAATTCGATGTTTTGATTATAAAAAAAATTTAAAACTATAAAATTCCTATTTCAAAAAAATAATTGATTTAAAATTTTAAAATTGTAATTTTTAATTTTAAACTTTAATTTGATATACAGTATGGATCAAAAAAAATTGGAAAAAATCAAAACTCATATTTTATTCATAATTTAATAAATAATTAAATA